TTTTTTTTTTTTCGTCTTTAGTCTATAAACGTTTATGTCCGTCCCAATGTCCACTGTTGTATTTGGCACTAAAACTTTCTTTCGCGTTCTTCACAGTGTGTAACACACTGTGATACTCGTGGTATCTCAGTATTAGACGGGGATCATTTACGTACACGTGTGAGTGTTGTTGTTTTTTTTTTTTTCTTGTATCTTTCAGCTTGTATCTGTGTATGCGTTATTTTATTGGTGAATCAAATGAAAAAAAACAGAAACGAAGGAAAAAAACAGCAACAACAAAGTAGGTGTAACTTAAATCGAACAATTTTAAAGGAGTCATTTATGTAAAGAAGAAAAAATTATGCTTTCTTCTATGATCGACTATCACCCTGTTGCTCTTCTTGTTATGCAGATCAATCATTATAGGCATCAGTTTTGTTACGTCTGCAGATATTTGTTTATATATCATCTACATGTACAGTAGAGGCTGATCAAAGGTTTCTGGTCAAAAATGAAACGGCGCGTATATTCTTAGAATTATCTCACTCTTCCTCTGCCTATTTCTTCATTTAGTTTCCGATGTATAAAAGGGTCGAATTACAACTATACTTCTGTTTGTTGGCTTTGATTGCCGTATGTCAATGAACTGTTCTATCATACAGATTTAACAGAAAAACTTTGTTGAATAGAAAAAAAAAAAAAGAACATCATATCAGCGTCATCATTATCACTCAATCGTCCCTAACAAAAAAACAAATAAAATAATGCAGTAACTGCAATAAATTATAGTTCCTCTGTTAGTCCAGAAATTTTAATTATGGTACAGAAGAAAAAATGATAATTTTCCTCATTAATTCCGCAATAAAATGGTGCCTAAAATAACAATTTTTTCTTTCCTTCTTTAAAAGGGTAGAAGTGTCGCTGTTATTGTTATTACTGTCGCTAAAAAACTATTGTTGCTATCCATAACCGTTAATACCTTTTAAATCAACCAACAACTGAAAAAAAAAACATTTTCAGAGTCATTAGTATCAGACCCAATGAGAAGAGAAAAGCAATTAAAGAGACAAAAGGAGAAGTAAAAGATATATGAAAGAAAAACAGTTACCAAATTTTTCTTCAACAATATTATTTCGTAAAGTAAAATAAAATAAATTTAGTGAACGTAGAATATTTAAAACCAACAAATTGAACAATAATCTGAGACTAAAAAAAAATTAAAAAAAAAAAAACAAAGAACATCAAAAAGAAGCAACTGTAATGATGAGACAATACTACAGACAAATTTTTTAGTTCTAAACTTTTCTTTTTCTTAACCATCACAACTCAGCCAAATTGTTTCGTACATTTTTTCACTGCTTTTCTTTTTGGTCTTTTTATTTTGTCAATTTTATATGCAACACTAAAAAGAAAGAAGCATATTAAAGAAAAATTTATTTTTCTGCTTTTTTTTTTTCTCAATTTTTAGATAATTCTTTGCATCATTTACTGCGCAGTAAACTGTTAATTACATATATAAGATGTTTACGCTTCTCTATGTAAATTTAGTGTTGAAGCAAAAGGAAGATAAAATTTTTTTTCTGAAACATAATTCCTGTTTCTCGTTCTTATATTTTCTAGAAAACTGTACTAGAATTTTTTCAGC